CCGGCTTCCTGGCTAGTCAGCATGGAGCTACCTTCCAGGCCAATCAGGAAGCAGGGGCGCGAGTCATTACCTGCGGCCCAGCTTCCTGATTGGCCTGTAAGGCCGGCTACATGCTCCCTTGCACTGCCGGTCACAGGAAATCTCCCTCTAACCGGAAGTTCCGGTATCGGGATAAGTATCTGAGCATTTGGGTGAGTACTCACCCAAATACTCAGTATCGGTGCATCCATAATGATGAGATATTCTCATTCTCAAACAATTAATCTCCACACAGCTACCTCCTCATGTATCCCTTTTAGATTGTAAGCCCTCGGGCAGGGCCCTCCTTACCATCTTGTCTTGTATTGTAATGTCTTCCTTATATTGTAAAGCGCTGCGCAAACTGTTGGCCCTATAGAAATCCTATATACTAATAATAATGTATTACGTGTTCTGAAGGTCATCCAGGTGCCATCAAGTAAACATTCAATTTGCACACTAAAAGAGAATCAATATAAGACTTTCTATGGTACTGTTCTAGTAAGGTCCTTATGCTTATGCTCTTTATGCTGCCTATTCTAAAGGGTCCAATACATGTTTTAGCATCTTGTGATTGTATGTTTTTTTTATCACATTCACGGGATGCTAAAACTTATCTCTTAGAATTCTAAGAGGTCTCTCCAGTACAAGCAAACACTTGCTTCCTCATATGCTAACAGATTACCACTGTTTAATTACACCTCTGAGAAAGCAAACATCTATGCTGGACCCATATACACAACTAAAAGATATAAAACGTATGAAATAGCCAGAAAAGTATAGTAAGATAAATAGGTTGACTTGTTGATAAGTAAACCACAAATATATAGGTTGGACATTTTGGAATATTGATCGCCTATATGTGAAACACCCAGTAACGGGTGTGTTTAATCGTCGGGTCTTTTCTGCCCGTGCGTGCCCGCTAGGGGGCGCGCGCGAGCAGAAAAAAATTGCCGTCTGGAGACGGCAACCCGCAGATGTAGCAGTGCCGTCCGCCCGTTTTTTACTACGGGCGGACGGCAAGAGGTTAATGTTCATTTTAGTAAATTCACTCAATAAATGAATACAACTGTGTACTATGATTTAGTCTGTGTCATAAAGCTGTGTATTTTACTTTTTCAGTAAAAAGACAGCCAAAGAAAAATTGTCATGTAAACATGAAATAAAATGCCATTGAAGTGTATAATGAAAACACAACATAGAGATCCAATGTTTCTAGGTAAAATAAACTTAGATACATTTACTGAGACAAAACTATAACATTTAAGTAGCTTGCCAAAGTATTAGGCTAGATTTACACCTAGGCGACTGAGCAGTTTTACGCAGTTGACACGCGTTTTCATTTGCACGACTGTTCTTTGAAAACTGCACGGTTGTTGCA